TTAAACATTGCATTGTGCCATATTATAATGGAAAGGACATTTATCTGGAGTATAGATACCACCAAATAAGAAAACAGTGAGCTGAGATTTTTTTGAGACCCAAAGGGCACATAGAGTCTCAAATTAACCTTTTTATGCTCTGCTTGGTAAGAAACCACTATGCAGTCTGTCTACATCCTATGCAGCACAGGCCATTCTTTGACAATTCAGGCAGGCAGGACCTCATAACCAGCACAGATTCAGATAAAGGCTCTATATGGGACAGTACCCTGTGCTCAGCAGTAACCAGAAGCAAATACTGAAGAGTGAGGACAAGAAAAACATCTATGAGACCACTCCTGAGTACTCTCCTGGGCTTGAACTACCTTCGGTTCATGGGATTTCCTAAGCCAGGTGTGGTTTGTCTACCTCTCTCTGACTCTACTAAGCATTTGTCCCATTTCCCCTTCAACCTAGCTAAGCTTTTACTGTCTGTAGCATCCATTGGCAAATGTTTCTACAATACTGCTAAACCTTGCATGACAAAAATCACCTCTCTATGCATGTTTTGAAGCTGTCTCCGGTTGGCTTTAATTTAATGGTCCCTGGTTTTTGTGGCAGTCTAGGCTCCAGACCACTCATGGCTTTGTAGATACAGCAAAGTATCAGTCATGGCTCTCATCAGTGGGCTCTCTCTCAAGCTGAAGAGTCCGTGTCTATTCATGTTTTCCTACTACAGAAGCCATTTCACATGTACATTCGTGTTGTCAGCCCTTCTCTGACTCTTTTCCTGGTCTACTCCAGGGAACCAGAACTACACAATATTCAAGGTTGGGGTGAACTGTGGATTTATGCAGTAGCACAATGACATCTTCTGCTTTGTTCTCAATTTCCTTTCCTAACAATTCCAAACTCTCCATATGACTTCTGGGCACTGCTGATCACCGAGTTGATGTTTTCATGGAACTTCCTACTGTGATCCTCGAGTCTTGCTCCTGCATGGTAATGGTCAAGGGTCCATGAATCTTTATGTGATACTAGGATTTTTTTGCTTGCTATGTGTAACGCTTTACATTATCTGTCTGAATTTCTTCTGACATTTTGTTGCCCAGCCACCAAGACTTTTCAGGTCCTTCTACAATTTCCTACAACCTGTATTCATCTTTACTTCACCAGATAACCTTATCATAAGCCAATTTTCTCATTTCACCACCTGATCTATTTTCTAGGTCATCTATGAGCACATTGAATGGCACAATTTTCAGCCCAGTTCCCTTTAGAACTCCTCTGGGAAAGACGCTCCCCTGCAAGAATTAAATGTTTGCCCCTATCCTGCATTTCCTATCTCGCAATCAGTTCTTTATTCCATCTAGGATTTCTTCTCTTATTCCATTACTTCAGTTCCTTAAAAGGCTTTGGTTAAGTATTTCACCAGAAGCTGATGGGAAATTCAAGTAGATTGTATCAATTAGATCACTCCCATCTACATGCTTGAAAAATTCATTAGAGGTTTACAAAACAGGATTTTCTTTTACGTAATCTGTGCTACTCTTCCCAAATGGGTCATATTGATCCACATGGGCTTTCATTCTATCTTTTATTGCAAACCCTACTTAACTGCTCAGTGCAGATGTCCAGCTTACAAACCAGTAATTGCCCACTCCCTGCATGGAAATCAGGGTAGGAGTGCAATATGGTTACTTACATCATGAACCATGAAATTTTCTTTCTAAATCTGTCTGTTTCCATGTACCTATTGATTGACTGAGTCATTTGTAAGACTACCTTTCTTTTCCTTTCCTTCTTTCCTTGGAACACGTTTGTTGTTTTATTTATTTTTTCCCTGATTAGGAAAACACTACCCAAGTTGGTGATCATGAGAAAAATTTAACAACTGGTAATGTATTTATAGCAATTTTTAATCTTAAAAGCCCTGTACACATTTATCTAGCAGAATTAATCTAACCAGCCTAGTAAATATAGCTGTAAGATGAGCTGGATATCTCTACATTTAATGTTCAAATTCCATTTTTTTTTTCTGTCAGATACTTTACCTGAGTTAGATGTGGTAAAGGATGTCTATCAGATTTCAGCCATCACAAGCAAGCTAGAAGTTATGTTTGCTCAGTTTCAACAGTCAAAGGCTTTCCTACAAAGAGTAAAGAGAGGAAGTTTTACCTCAAAGCCCACTTCTGTTACTGAATTTATTCTGCTCTGTACTTCTGCTGAATGTGTTTTCCCATAAGCAAAGATGGATATAAAGCAACTCTTTTGTTTGAATCCCAACCTCTCGTGCCTGCAGAGCCACATCTGACACAGCAGCATGTATTCAGACTGTTCTTTCAAAATCCGGCCCCAACTGCTCCTTATACTCAGATCTCATCTGGGAAGTACACCATATTCTATATTCTTCCTCCCTAAATATTAGAAAAACCTGTTCTGTTCCTCAGACCAAGATCTCTCATGTGATCAGTGCAAAGCACTTGTATTAAAATCTCATAATCCTGGGACTTCTGCTGTCCAGAGAACGTTCTTCCAACTATGGAAACAGGATGGCCAGCAACTGTTGATCAATAGACCACAGATTTATTTTATCGTAGGATGACAATACTTGCCAAGGCCCAGAACTGTTTAATTGCTTTTTGCAGCCTAGGATTGTTTTTACAATTTCACATTTGCACAGTACTCTATTTTCCTTAATATTTAGTGCTCTTTACAGTCACTTGCTTTTTAACTTTGTGTTAGTAGACCTAATCTTATGAACTCCTGAATACTGCTTTTATATTTAGCAAATAACAAATTGCTGCTACTGAACTAGCATGGTAACCCAGAACAGAAACTGAACACCGGAGGCTTTTTTACATTTTTGTTGCTGTCACTCGTATCATAAATGGAAAAAAAACCCAACAAACTAATAAAAAGGGACATCCAAAAAACTATGAACTGTTTATTTTGATGGTTCTCACACAAAATACATTAAATCTGTTCATTAAATGTTGTATCTATTTTAGTTGAGTTCTTATTTCAGTCATTCATTCAAATCCTTCATTGCAAATCAGTGCATCAGATTCTTATCTGCTGACATTGCTGGACACATCTTCTCAGATTCAACTGAAAACAGACACACTGGAAATAAGCTTTTTATAAAACATACAGTTATTGTGATGTGCCACGGGAATTTGAGCATGTCAGATAATCTTCCCACAGGGAAAATGATAGATGGATTATTTAATATAGGCTGATATTTTGTCATTCCCCAGATAATGGCATTGTGGTTTTCATTATCATGTGAACCTCTGTCTGTTACCGCTTCTATTTCGTACACAGTTTAGAAAAAACACTCATAATTAGCAGATGTAAGACAGGTGGGGAAGATAATGACCTCTTGTCAGATAATCAGTCACTGGTTCTTCCATCTCTTTTTGTGTGGTATGCCAAACTCTGTCTTCCCATTGCTCAAGCAATACTTAATTTTTGCACAAAGTAGAACAGCCACAGGGACTGAAATGGCCCCACTGCCAAACATATCCTAACCTCTGAGGTCAAGGCTTTTTGTAGGCTCTTTTCCTTGTGGATAAAAAAAGAGGGATTGAAATCCAGGTATCCTGAACTCTGGGTGAGCATTTTCATTACCAGATAAAAGGGAAGTCTGAGGGTTCCCTTTGTGAGTGGGATCAGGCATGGGATGAGCATATCTACTGATCAGACACAGGGAGTGAGACAGGCAGAAAAATATCTGCTCCTTAGATCTCTGCAGCTACCTGTATCCCAGTTGCATGTGTGACCTTTACCCAGAAGTTAGGTCCTTTTGTGCTAAGGACTTCACAGAGATGATCCCTAACCCAGAGCCTGTACTGGCAGGCAGAGTGTGCAGCTGTGGATAACGAGGCAAGTAATTTAATGAGGATTTTGATGGGACACAGTGAAGTGATAGGATAGCCACATGCAGCCCCACTTAACAGTAAAGGGCAGCATGGGAAAAATCATGATGTCACCTTTTTGACAAGCTTTCAAGAAGGGAGTGGGCTCTACATTGCAAATGGATCAGGACTAGAGTTCAACCTGTGGTACAGGGTGGGGGCGGTAAGCAAGTTGGAGCCAGACACAAATTTTGAATGAGTCTGAAAATGAGGAACAACTTTATGCAACAGAGGAAGGGGAACTATTCAAAAGCAGAAATTCCAAATGATGGTCTGAAAATATAAGCAGCGTGCTAACGTTTGTTGAGGAGAGAGAAAAGGATAATTAACAACAACAAAAAAAATAATGAGAGTCAATTATAGCAGTTTTATGGGAGCAGATTGCCGTGAAAGACTACGTCTTCAAGAAATCAAGCAGAGAGACACTTCACAATCTGGATGCAGCAGTCCATGTCCGGCAGGCCACAGCAATTAGTAGTGCGTCTTCAAATCTCATCTTCAAATCTCATCATCCCGAAAGGGGTGCCGGCAGGTTATTCAGGGATGTTATTAATCACATTCTGTGCTTCCCGCCCCGCCGAAAAATTCCTAGAGATGTTGCGTGGTTAACAAGAGAAAGAAAAGCAGCGCCGAGGGGTATACGGAATGATCTATATTGTCAAGCTCCGATCATGTGGCATTTATAAAAGATGCCAATTATAATTTAGTATTGATTACCTTCAGGGTAGAAAGCGTTGCTCATCACTTGTGATTACGTAAATCCAGAACGCCCGAAGTCAATACCGACTTGGGCGATTTAGGGGCTTGCAGGCCTCATTTTCGCCTCGAATTCAAACGACAAAACGTGCTCGACGGGAGGGCCAAAATTCCTGCGCAGATGATGAATTTACGCTCCCCTCCCGCTCCGCCCCGACCCCGCTCCCGCCGCGGCGGGAGC